TTCAGCCCTCTTAACGTCGTACCTACGTAGTCGAAAGCAATTCGTACAATTGAATAATCACTCCTCCGAAAAAAAAAAAAAAAAGAAATATCAGATGTACCGCAAGGGAGTATCCTGGGTTGTTGTATTTTGTTTTTGAAAATTTACTTGAACGATCTAGTAAACATCGATAACGTCGCCAAATTTGATATTTTTTGCAGATGACACTACATTGTTGTTTTCCACAAAATGTCCCTCAAAACTGAATTCCCGAGCAAATGTGAGCCTTGTAAAATTGGAAAGACGGACTCTGAGTAACGCGCTAAAAATAAATACAAATAAAACTAAAACTGTCCTATTTCGCCCAGAAAACAAAAATATAAGCGTTTATTAAGTTATTGATTTGTTCGATTCAAAAATAGAATTAGTCAGCGCATTGAAAACCCTTGGCGTATTCTTCACGGAACGGATGACATGGAAAGAACATAGAAAATACGTTGTGTCGAAACCATCGAGTATCGTAAGTTTAACTTATATTCGTCGACAGATTTTACCTACAAGAGTTGAAGTTCTCGTACATAACACATTCTTTTATTTGCATATAAATTAATGTCATCTAGTATGGGGAAACACGACCCTAAAAAATTGGCACAAGATTTACTTACTGCAGAAGAAAATGCTTAGAAATATAGATACCGTTGCGTAGGATCACCCTTCTGCACCACTTTTTCAAAAACATGGCATAATGAACATACATAACATGCACTTCGTTTAAGTATAATCTATAAACAGGAAGCTAAAGACAACACGAATCTTTTCACTCAGTAGCTTGTTTACGTAAAAGAACAATCACATATCCCACACATAGCATTGACATAGGGAACACTTACTCATGTAAAACGAGTTATGGGGAGCAAATGATGAAACGCAAACTTTCAGAATTGCCCAATTTCTGTAATAATTGCAATATACAACTAGAATCTACATTTAAAAAAGAAAAAAAAAAGATTTGAAGTCTTTTCTTAGTCCTTTGCGCTTTTAAAACATGAGTATCGAAGTGTTATGATTGTAAAATGTTTATAATATATCCCACAAAAAAGAAAAAAAGAAAAGCTTGTTAGTTTGTTTGGTACAGCGTTTCTGCGCGTTGTGCTGTACTGTCTGCCTTTTTGTTTTTGTTTTCTACATTGTCTGATTTCTGGGGAGGAGGGAGCTCGACAAGCTGATTCATTCTATTTTTTCCCCAACCTCCCACATCGCTAGGATGGAAAATAAAGGCATTATTATTATTATTACTATTATTATTATTATTATTATTCGCAGGTTTTGCGGTGTCGGTTGTTCCGCCACTACGCGATGGTTCCGGCCTTCTAAGAATGAACACTTGATTTTCGAAAGTGCTCTATAAGGTGTGCAAATGGGTCTGTTCCTTGCGCAGCCCGTGCGTTTATTTCCCGCCCCCTAGCTCAACGAATGACAGCGCGAATCGGCTGCATTGTCATCGCGCGTTCTCTACGCGTTCTCAATGTTTCCTTTTGATTGGCGTGTCCCTCTTAGAGTTCCGACGAGAACACTTCCTCGCCGTAAATATATATATATATATATATATATATATATATATATATATATATATATATATATATATATATAAAACTGATGTAAAAAAAAGTATAGTAAGAAACAAAAAAAGGCTCGAGGTACACCTAAGCGCTTCTTACGAGTTGTGAATGATGAATCCGAAAGCATGAACGTCGTTCTTCGCGCCGCAGCCGAGGGAAAACGGCCTTGGTGCCGAGGGAAACGGCCTTGGTGCCGTTTCCCTCGGCACCAAGGCCGTTTCTGATCCTCTCGGCGCCTCAGCCGTTTCTGCTGCGGCGCGGGCACGCAGCGCCATGAAGTGACGCCAATTGAAACTGACGCGCGTTGGCTTCATATCATTGCCGTTTTGCGCGGCTTTTTGCGTGGTTTCAAAGCCGGGATGCCTCAGATCCCGGCTTCGGAAATTTATCTGCCGTTTGGCGCGCCTGATGACGTGGGCTCGCTCAAAAAAACAGTAAATGCATTTGCATAAAAAAAAAAAAAAAAAACTATTTGTTTTAAGACTGGTTTAAACAGTTGCGTTGTTTGCGTTCAGAGCAGTTCAGAGCTACTGAAACGACAGCAACAACGACAGTCACCGGGAGAAGTGTTCGTCGTACACAACATGTCAAACAATGCAAAAATTAGCCTTTTAAAGCGATGCTATTTTTGGTCACACAGGTTTCACGCTTTACGAGGACCAAAATTACCCAACAATGTTAAAAAAAATAAAGACACCAACGCTTTGGGGAAAAAAAGTCTCGCGTAAAAGATTAATTTCGGTATCCTACAATAATTTTAATGCGTACGCATCGTATCTGTTTGTCCGTGTTAAAATTAGAAAAAGGAATGGAGAAAAAAAAAAGGCCGTATACTTATCGCTACGCACAAACACAAAAAAAATTGTTTTGCGCATACTTCTTACGTTGCGCAAAGTAGTTCTTACAAAATTGAAGTCAGAAAAAGCAAAAAAATATTACGCTTTTTGCGTTTAAAATTTGCACATCTTGATAAGATATCAAACGCTAATATATAACATTACAAGCCCCCCCCCACACACACACACACACGCACGTAACTTAATTCACCCCATAAAGAAGGAAAACAGTAAATATTCGCAGAAACTCGAACGTTTTTTGTTTCTGTTTTTTTTTCGCCGCGGTTCTTCAGATGAAAACGAGTGTAAACTTTACAGAATCTGCCACGTACGTATGGTTTGCCTTTATAATAAAGAGTAACATATACTCGTTCCTCAATTTTACGGGGAAAGATGCAATCGGAAACCGGTGCTCGCGAATCAAGCACGTTTGCGCCTGCTTCCATCTCCTCCCGGCAACCATGACGCAATCTTTTATTGCTCTCAGGAACATTAATTTTTTTGTTCTTTCGAATTCTCGGAGGAAGTGGATCCCGCTATTGGCCCGAAAGGACGAAGCCCAGAGCCTCGTAAAAGCCTCTTCAAGTAATCATAAGGAGTCACATTTCTTTCGCTTAGCTGCCGCGTGTCACGAATATTAGAGAGTTCTAGAATACGGGGGCCTAAGTGCTCGGGATTCCCGGGGCGCCGCATTTCGCACGCGGAGTTCGACGCCTCAAGCTACTCGGGAGACCTCAAGTGCTGGGGGGGCCCCTATCCTACAGTCTAAAGAAAGAAAGGGGGGGAGGGGGGGGGGGGGGAAGGTGTCACTGTATACCCTTATAATGCACCCCAAAACTTTAATTCGACGTACACCGCACTATAGTCGAAGAGACGGCAACTAATTTTACGAGGGGCTTGATAACGGCGCGATATAACTTATTAAATAGCTAAAATACGTCTCAAAGACCACAGAAAGAAAACACTGAGGTTTTGCAGTAGGACCGAGAAAACACCGATTATTATTTTTTCTTTTGTAGTCAGTAACACGTACGTTAATTATTTTAATAAGTTGTACCACACGGCTATCAAGCCCCTCGTGCAAGTTAGTCCCGTCAGATCGACGTCAGTGCGCTGTACGTCGAACTCAAGTTTTGGGGTGTATTATATGGAACAAAGGGTGTAATAATACACCTTTTTTTCTAAAAGAGAACTCCATGCGACGAGAACCTTGGGAACAGGAGGACACGAGAGAGCGTGAAAACGTCATAAGGCCGAGCTCTGGTTGGAATAATCACTATACTCCGTCTCACTAAAACCGCGCAGTACAGCCAAAGCTACAGGAGAGAGAACGTATGCCAACCTCTTCAAGGGGAGGGAAAGGAAAAACGGGAGAGAAAAGCTAGGATTCTCCCGTTCTGTTGGTACTGCACGGTTTTAGTGAGACGGAGTATAGTGGTGTTGTTGACGCAACGCTAGCTGCATGCCTTTCTATCTACTCACTCGGTCTTGCGGACCACGGTAACGGTTTGCTAAAAGTCCCTATTAACAACAGCAGCACAAACGCAACCGTTTTTATAAGCAGGTACCATAACTGTCGGATGATTGGGGGAAAGGGGAGGGAGGCAACGGAAAACGAAGGGGAAGATTTCCCTCTAATGTTTAAAGTGTCAGGGGGGGGGGGGGGGGGGCATTAAGAGGAACGCTGCGCGGACGTTGCTTGCTGGCGTTGGAGAACCGACCGCAACTAGTGACGTCATAGCGCGCGCGACCAATGACGTGCACTGCACCAAGTGCGAGGTGGGGGAGAAAAGAGGTCCGCTAACCAAATACACCGTGAACACTATCCTCTCCCCCCCCCCCCCCCTTTTTTTTTCCCCCCCGTTGCGTATGAACGTAGGTCGCCTAGCAGAGTAGGAACAAAGTATCAGTATAGAATAATCCCGTAGGCGGGGAGGCTATACAACAACGGAATTTCCGAAAAAAAGGTACAAATGTAATACTCGCAAGAAGCTTGCATGGATAAAGAGAGAGAAGTGCTTTATACATTTACAATTCCATCGCCCCAAGCCATATTGCATACCATTCCGACAGCAAGTGCTGCTCGTCAAAAAAATCCCATCAAGTGTGTTCAGTGCATTTGAGAAAATGTCAGTCAGGCGACCTCTTTGTTCCTTTCGCAATGTAAATTGCACTCTCAGTACGCTTCGTACTATGGAAAATAACCTACCTTGTCTTGGTGGCAGCACGGCTCTCCCGTAACGTCTGAAAATCTCTTTCGCTCGCTGTCTTATTGTTTGGTTTCTCTACCTTTATTATTCTGGTCGCTGGAGTGAGCAAATCCAGTACTTATATATAAGCGCTGGATTCACTATATTTCTAACACGTCATGCATAAACCGATGCACGTTTAAGGGCAGAGAAATAAAGGCGTAGAAATAATACAACCGAAACCGCTGAAACAGAAAGCTGCGTCCGCAGGAACCCAAATCCCCTCCTAACGACCACCGTCGCCCCGGATTTAGTCAGAAATCTCCTAGAAGGTATTCCTTGGCTGCGCAGATAATAAGAGGCGCGTATACACTCACCGTGCTGGCTGGCGCTCCCAAGAAATTTCTGCAAAAAAGAAAAAAGAAAACCAGACAACGATCAATGCGAGTTCATACATGCGCGAGTCTACACCGAAAATCTTGTTGCATATGGCTTAAGTTCAGTTCAGAAGCATTTGAGTACGCCGAACTGCGTTACGACCGCTTAGGACGGCTTACAATAAGATTGTTATGGCAAAGAAAAGGCCAGGGCAACAAGTCCTAGTGGAACGCAAGGATGCGTATACAGTAGGTCCTACTCAAACGCAAATCTGTACAGCAGCATTTACTCGATGCTTTTAACCGAGTTCAGTCGCAGAATGCAGGTGCAACAAAAGCCGACTGGATCAAGAGGTTAAAGACTCGAATAGCACTAACAAAGCGAGCATTATTGTGTTTTGTGGACAAATTATACTTGCTACGCTCTAAAAACGTTTACAGCCTTAATGTTGTACATAACCTGGCCCTGACTTAGTAGTCATTTCTTGGGGTGGACAGACAAAACAAAAAAACGGGGTTGACAATCCTAGCGGCTTACGAGTATGTTGCGACTCCTGCACTACATAAGTTCGTCCACATACAGTGTATGCAAGTAACAAGCACCACACACAGACGCAGCTACAAGAAATACAGACGCCAAGATGCGCGCAGAAACATCGGTACCACGCCCCTACTGGAGGTAAATACAGCACACGGAAAGACGAAGACGGATAGGAGAACGCAGGACGAGCGCTCGTCCTGTATCTCTTATCCGTTTTGGTCTTTCTATGTTCCCAACTCGCCTGCATCGCCACTTTAGCTCACGGGTCAATCGATCGATCCACAGCCTTATGTACCCGATATCGAAAAGGTACTCCTTCGCCGGTGGCAGCCCTCACACTTAATGAGGCAATAAAGTAAACTGTCATTTTGTCTCGTTAATAAAAAAAGGAAAGAAAAAAGAGACAATTGTTCGAGGATTGCTTGCTAAAAAAACAACCTTTGTAGAGACGGTAATTATTCTACATAGACGCAAGAACAATCTCCACTAAAGCTGAATGCTTTTCGCCCTTTTCGTTTGGCAACAAACTCAGTGGCGCCATTTATTATTAGTCCCGGCAAACTTCCAGTTCACGTATGTTTCCTATTTTTTCTTTTTACTCATCATTCATCTGACAGTGCTATAAGTGATCATTTCCAGAAGATATCGTGTATATTTGATTTCGCAAACACTGCGAAACCCGACGTCTAGTTCAGAACCGTAAGTGTTTGGGGGCTATTTGCACACTGGCACGCACCACGCTTCAACTCACGCGAGAAAGAGCGAATACTGCCGCTTTCCCGCAGTGCACCACAGCCAGCCCTTTCACACCATTTTTACACTCTTCAAAAATGTATGGCGTTCCATGCAACAGCGTCCTGTTTCACCATCATAAAGAGTGTGGTGCTCAAAAGAAGTGCTGAAAGGGTGAAATCACGGGTGTAAGTCATCGGAAGACCACTTTTACACCCCTCCCTGTAAAAAGGGCTTTCCACTGACTTACACCGACAGTGTAAAAGTTACCTTTTTTTAATTTTTTATGCCCTAGAGTCTTGAGTACATTAAAGGGTAATATCAAAAAGCGGCCAGGCTCTATAAAGGGGTCCATGAAACGATTTTCCTACTTCTTCCTCCTTAGTTTTAATCCTCAACTCAAATGCGAATTGTGAAATCACGTCGTCGTGACATTCTTCGGCACCGGTGCGATGACTCTTAGCTTCCACCGTGCTTTTTATGCACATCACAGAACTTGTCATTCCCCAGTGACGATAAGTTCCGTCGGGGCACTCACTGGCCACGAACGCGAATCCGAATATTCGTCGACGGATTGATTGTTGACGAGGGCATACGTCCGAGTGACGCAGTTCTCTTGTCCAATACGTGAGCTGGGCTCTGCTGACGTCAGGTTGGCACCGCTGACGCGCTTTGGGAACCGCGGATGTATCATAGTGAAAAGGGGGAGAGCTTTCGAAGGCGAGAAGGTACAAAATAGTCCGCTATAATTTCTAATGTTCATACCGAAAAGCTGGCTTTTGACTTTCTAGCCTCTTTCTTTTGGTCAACTTAATTTTTTTTAATTAAACTAAAAAATTAATTTAAAATGTTAATTTAATTATTTTACAACTTTTTTTATTTTTTTATAAAATATTTTTTTAATTATTCTAAATTTAAAATAATTCAAAAAAATTAAAATAACTTATCCCAGCCCGAAATTTGTCTCATTGCCCCTTTAAATCGACCGCAAAATTCGGTTTCTTAACCTATCGCGTTCCGATTTTGTGCAGCGTTGGCCGCACGTGGTGCATTTTTTCTATAAAATTCGCAAAGAGCGAGCTTACCCGATCAAAAACTAAAAAAAGAAAAAGGCTTAACTCCTATGGAAAACGCAGCGAAGCCACCGGTCTTCAAATCATAGGGCGCCCAATGGTTTGAAGACCGTTGGCCTCGCTGCGTTTTCCATAGGAGTTAAGCCTTTTTCTTTTTTTCTTTTTCATCGGGTAAGCTCGCTCTTTACGAATTTTATAGAAAAAATTCACCACGTGTGGCCAACTCTGTACAAAGTCGAAACGCGATAGGTTAAGAAACCGAATTTTGCGGCCGATTTAAAGAGCCTGGCCGCTCCTTGAATCACCCGATAGAATGACTATTGATAGAAAGAAAAGCCTACGCCACTTTCGCGATGCGACGCGATGCTTGCATCAGTCCCATCCAGTGACGGCGTGTTACGCAACACGCCGAAGTGATGTAATCCAATTAACCAAATGCATCACGCGAAACCGCCAGAAAGAACTCTACGCAACGTGAAGTACTGTTCCGCAGCACGTGAAGTCCCATCAATTCAATGTTTATTTAATGAGATGAAGATTTTAGCCCCATAATTTGGGGCCGGCTACTTCAATGCTAGTAATGGGGTAAAGTATGATATGATATGTTCAATAATTATGAAATCTGGGCATAATGAATAACAAAGTAAACTATGAACGTGCTGCGTTAATATCACAAGCAAGTGCACTTTGAGAAGTACGATATGTACAGTATTATACAGTGGTACAAAATATGTGCAGTTAAATCCTGCTATACCAGTAACTCGTAATCATTGAACTTAATATTTGGCTTCTATCTTTGAGTCCTTCAGAAATGCAGTTAGTGAGGCTAATGCACGCTTTTGTTTCTTTAAGTCGGGCCAAGGGCCTAGAACTTTGGCGAGAGAAAATGGACGATTGTCGAGTATCCCGAGACTAATCCGTAAGCGGGCGCGCCACTGATCATATCTCGGACAGTCCATGATTAAATGTTCGACGTCTTCGACCGGGTTGTCGCACTTGCAACTCGGTGTTTCTACTTGTTTTATCCGGTGAAGGAAGCTTCCCGTGTATGCTACCTCAAGTCGTAGGCGATGGATAAGGGTGTCGATTGACCTGGCTGAATAGGTGTACACAGGGCAACGGAGGTCCGGATCGATTAGACGGATCAGGCTGTCTTGTGGGATGCTGCTAAGCCATTCATCGTGAGACATTCGCTCACGTAGTCGACGGATGTATCTTTTGGCGTCGCTCTTTGTGAAAGGTGTGAGGTGGACGTTGTTACTTGTATGGGCTGCGGTAGCCAATTGGTCAGCTTGGTGATTTCCTAAACTCCGGTATGCCCGGGGACCCACTGTAGATGTACAGTGTTGCCAAATTCGATGGCATCAGAGAGTTCTAAGTAAATTCTGTGTACAAGGGAGTTGTGTTCACTACGGCTATTCATAGTCTTAATAGATTGCAAAGCTGCCTTTGAATCAGTACATATGACCCAAGAATTCGCAGCCGAGTTGCTTTTTATGTACGTTGCAGCCGCGAGTAAAGCATGTAATTCCGCAGTGGTTGAGGAAGTAGGATGCGATAGTCGAAAGGATGACCAATGGTTAAAATCAGGCACAACAAAGGCTGATGTCGATCCGTCTTCAGTGGTTGATCCATCAGTATACACGTGGATGTCATCTTTATATTTTTCTTCCAGATGTGAAAGAGTCAATGTTCTTGCAATCTGTGTGTTAACTGATGTTTTTGTTTGCATGCCTGGAATGTCCATGTTGATCTCCAGTAATGGTAGCGTCCAGGGTGGTTTACAGATCTCTTGAATCCAGTTAGGTTGTTCGGGAATCCATAATGGAAGAGAATTCAGTGTGGAAAGAAAGTTGGTCCCTTTGCGAGTAAAAATATCATTGAAAAGAGGCCGCGTGGAGAGTCGAAAGAAATTACGACATATCTCCTGTGTTCTTAGAATATGTATAGTCGGCTCTCTTGCCGTTACGAGTACAAGCGCGCTGGATGTTGATCGCGGTAAACCGAGGCATACTCTTAAGCTTCTTGCTAGCATGTAGGTAAGGCGAGACTCTGATGTCCGGGAAAGTCCGTTTAACACCGGAATAGAGTATGCAATCGCTTGTCGTATTAGCGCCGTGTGGAATGAGAGCATCGCATCTATTGATGCTCCCCATCTTGCCCCCGCAATGCAGCGGAATACATTAATCACACAATTAATTCTACTCTCTAACATGTCTAAATGTTTGGACCAAGTGAGAGATTGATCTAATATTACACCAAGAAATCTATAGGATTTAACCCTTTGAATTGATGCTCCGTTGAGTTCTAGCCTAAGCCCAGGGAGTTTCTTTCTTGTAAATGGCAGAAATGCTGATTTCGCGGCAGAGAGTTCCATTCCTCGTTCTTTTAGAAATCTAAAAGTGGTGTCTAAGCCCGCTTGTAACTTATTCTTTAGGATATCGCGAGATGAACCAGAGATCCATATACATATGTCATCCGCATAGATGGATATTTTTAAAGGTGATTCAAGTTTCTGCGGTAGCTGTGCCATTACTGCATTGAAAAGAGTAGGGCTCAGCACGCTGCCTTGGGGTACTCCATGGTGTATTTCATGTCTCATGCTGTCTCCATCGTTGGTTTTTACTATTATGTTTCTACAGTAAAGATATTCCTTTATCCACCTAAGCATCCGTCCACGTA